TTCTTTGAAGCCTTGGGATCCAGGATTGTCATCCATAGCCATTTCTTTTGTCTTGAGTATTTGTTGTAGAGGGTCTGGATAGTGTATCTGCTTAGTCTGCCATCTTGGATCCAAGAGCCATAATTTTATTGTTGGAGGAGAGTCTTCCCTTGATGTTGATGGCTGCTGCCTGATCAGGGCAGTGGTTGCTGAAGGTCAGGGTGGCTTTGGAAATTTGTTAACATAAGACAACAATGAAGTTTGCCATATTGTCTCTTCTTTTCATGAAAGATTTCTCTGTGGCATGCAATGCTGCTTAATAGCATTTTACCCACAGTAGAACTTCTTTAAAAATTGGAGTCAGTCCTGTCACACCCTGCCTCTGCCTGCCACTGCAATATTCTGAATCCTTTGGTGTTCAACAGTGTTTACAGCATCTTCACCAGGACTAGATTCCATCTCAAGAAACCACTTTCTTTGCTCATCCATAGGAAGCAATTCCTCATCCATTGAACTTTTATCATGAGATTGTAGCAATTCAGTCACATCTTCAGGCTCCACTTCTAATTCTAATTCTCTTGCTATTTCTACCACATTTGCAGTTACTTCCTCCCTTGAGATTTTGAATCCTTCAAACTCACCCATGAGTGTTAGAATCAACTTCTTCCATACTGTTAATGTTGATATTTTGACCTCCTCCCATGAGTCATGAGTGTTCTTCATGGCATCTGGAACAAAGAATACTTTCCAGAGGGATTTCAGTTTACTTGCCCAGATTCATCAGAGAAATCACTGTCTATGGCAGCTATCACCTTATTAAATGTATTTCTTAAATAAAGACTTGAAAGTCAAAATTACTTCTGATCCATGGGCTGCAGAATGGATATTGCATTAGCAGACATGAAAACAACATTAATCTTGTTGTCTATCTCCACTAGGGTTCTTGGGTGACCAAATGCATTGTCAATGAGCAGTAATATTTTGAAAGGAGTCTTTTTTTTTTCTTTTCTTTCTGGTCAGTAATTCTTAACCCAAACCTAACCAAGCCCATTGCCATTGAGTCGATTCTGACTCATAGTGACCCTTAGGACAGAGTAGAACTACCCTCATAGCATTTCCTAGGCTGTAAACCTTTACAGAAGCAGGCTGCCTCATTTTTCTTCTGCAGAGCAGCTGATGGGTTCAAACTGCTGACTCTTTAGGTTAGTAGCTGAATGCTTTAACCACTATGCTGCCAGAGCTCCTTAAGTCTCAACAGTGGGCTTAAAATATTCAGTAAACCATGTTGTAAACAGATGTGCTGTCATCCAGATTTTGTTGTTTCATTTATCAAGCACAGGCAGAATAGATTTAACATGATTCTTAAGAGCCCTAGGACTTTCTGAATGGTAAATGACCATTGGCTTTAACTTAAAGTCACCAACTGCATTAGCCCCTAACAAGAGTCAGTGTGTCCTTTGAAGCCAGCCATTGACTTCTCTAGCTATGAAAGTCCTAGATGGCATCTTCTTCCAATATAAGGCTGTTATGTTTACATTGAAAATCTGCTGTTTCATCAGTTGTCTTAGCTAGATCTTCTGGATAACTTGCTGCAGCTTCTGCATCAGCACTTGCTGCTTCACTTTTATGTTTATGGAGATGACCTCTTTCCTTAAACCTCATGAACCAACCTCTGCTAGCTTCAAACTTTTCTTCTGCAGCTTCGCAGAAGCTCTCTCAGCCTTCATAGAACTGAAGAATTAGGGCCTTGTTCTGGATTAGGCTTTGGCTTAAGAGGATGTTGTAGCTGGTTTTGTCTATCCAGACAAAATTTTCTCCATATCAGCAGTAAGGTTTGTTTTGCTTTCTTATCATTCCTGTGTTAACTGGAGTTGTTGTTGTTGTTAGATGCCGTCGAGTCATCTCTGACTCATAGCAACTGTATGCACAGCAGAATGAAACACTGCCTGGTCCTGTGCCAGCCTCATGATCCTTGCTATACCTGAGCCCATCATTGCAGTCACTGTATCTGTCCATCTCATTGAGGGCCTTCCCCTTCTTTGTTGACCCTGCACTTTACCAAGCATGATGTCCTTCTCCAGGGAATGGTTCCTTCTGACAACATGACCAAAGTAGGTAAGACGAAGTCTGGCCATTCTTGTTTCCAAGGAGCATTCTGTCTGTACTTCCTCCAGGACAGATTTGTTAGTCCTTTTAGTGGTCCATGGTACTCTTAGCATTCTTCTTCAACACCACATCTCAAAAGCATCAACTCTTCTTCCGTCTTCCTTATTCATTGTCCAGTTCTCACATGCATAAGAGGCAATTGAAAATACCATGGCTTGAGTTAGGCACACCTTAGTCTTCAAGGAGCTATCTTTGTTCTTCATCATTGAAAGAGTTCCTTTGCAGCAGATTTGCCCAATGCAATATGTCATCTGATGATCTTGACTGCTGCTTTTATTGGTGTTAATTGTAGAGCCAAGTAATATGAAATCCTTGACAACTTCAATCTTTTCTCCATCCACTGTGAAGCTGTTTATTGGACTAGTTGTGAGGATTTTTGTTTTCTTTATATTGAGGTGTAATCCATACTGCAGGAGCTCTGGTAGCATAGTGGCTAAGGCACTTGACTGCTAACCAGAAGGCTGGTGGTTCAAACCCACCAGCCACTCCCTGGAAGGAAGGTTGGGCAATCCTACTTCCGTAGTGATACTGCCTTGGAAACCCAAGGAGGGGTCGCTATGAGTCAAGGCTGACTCGATGGCACATAACAACAACAACAACAACAACAAATCCATACTGCAGACTGTAGTCTTTAATCTTCATTAGTAAGTGCTTCAAGCCATCCTCACTTACAGCATGCAAAGTTGTATCATCTGCGTATTACAGGTTGTTAATGAGTCTTCCTCTAATCCTGATGCCATGTTCTTCTTCATATAATCCTGCTTCTTGGGTTATTTGCTCAGCATAAGAATTGAATAAGTATGGTAAAAGGAAACAACCTTGACACACTCCCTTTTGATTTTGAACCATGCAGTAGCCCCTTGTTCTGTTCAAACAACAGCCTCTTGATCTATGTACAGGTCCTTCATGAGTATATCAAATGTTCTGGAATTCCCATTCTTTTCAATGTTATCCACCATTTGTTATGATCCACACAATTGAATGCTTTTGCATAGTCAATAAAACATAAGTAAACATCTTTCTGATAATCTTTGCTTTCAGCTAAGATCCATCTGACATCAGCAATGATATCCCTCATTCCACGTCCTCTTCTGAATCCAACTTGCATTTCTGGAAGCTCTATCTATCTATACTGCTGCAACCATTTTTGAATTATCTTTAGTAAGATTTTACTTGTGTGTGATATTAATGTTATTGTTCAATAATTTCCACATTGTGTGAGATCACCATTCTTTGGAATGGGTACAAATATGGATCTCTTCCAGTCAGTTGGCCAGGTAGCTGTCTCCCAAATCTCTTGGCATAGCTGAGTGAGTGCCTCCAGCGGCACTCCATTTGTTGTGGGGCATCCATTTGTTGAAACATCTCAATGGGAATTCCGTCAATTCCTGAAGCCTTGTTTTTTGAAAATGCCTTCAGTGCAGCTTCAGCTTCTTCCTTTAATGCCATTGGTTCTTGATCATATGCCACCTCCTGAAAGGGATGAAGATCGACCAAGTCTTTTTTGGTACAGTGACTCTGTGTATTCCTTCCGTCTTCTTTTGATGCTTCCTGGATCATTCAATATTTTGTTCCTTTCCTCACCACCAGAATGTCCAGCTTTGTGGAGCCTTCTGATACTGTGAAAAAACTGTCTTGGGTAGAGAACTATTGGCCTGACAATGCTTTCAGTATTGCAACTGGAGGCTTACATTTTTTCCTCAGTTCTTTCAGCTTGAGAAATGCCAAGTGTGTTCTTCTGTTTGGTTCTCTAACTCCAGGTCTTTGCACATTTCATTATAGTAATTGGTTTTGTCTGTTTGAGCTGCTCTTTGAAATCTTCTGATCAGCTCTTTTATCTTGTCATTTCTTCCACTTGATTTATCTGCTCTCTGTTCAAGAGCAAGTTTCAGAGTGTCTTCTGACATCCATTTTGGTCTTTTCTTCCTTTCTTGTCTTTTTAATGATCTTTTGCTTTCTTCATGAATGATGTTCTTGATGTCATCCCACAATTCCTCTGGTTTTCAGTCATTAGTGTTTAGGGCGTCAAATCTATTCTTTAAATGTTCTCTAAACAGGAGGGATATTATCAAGGTCATATTTTGGCTCTCGTGGACTTGTTTTAATTGTCTTCAACTTCAACTTGAACGTGATTGTGGAACAGACCATCAACTGCTCATATGCACGTTCACTGGAGTAACACTTTTAATTTTCTTCAAGAACTTTTCTTTTGCATTCACAGCTTTGCTAACTTTTTGGCACAAGAGGCCTAGCTTTCACTCTCTCTTGGCTTCTGACATGTCTTCCTCACTAAGATTAGTCGTTACTAATTTTCAGTTTAAAGTGAGAGACATGTGACTGTTTCTTTCACTTAAACACTTAGAGGCCATTGTAGAGTTGCTAACTGGCCTAAGTTCAATATTGTTGTGTCTCAGGGAATAGGGAGGACTGAGGAGAGAAAGACAGAGGAATGGCTTGGTGGAATAATCAGAACACACACAACATTTATCAGTTAACTTCACTATCTTATATGGGCATGGTTCATGGTGCCCAAAAAAATTAACAGTAGTAACAACAAAGATCACTGATCACAGATCACTGTAATAGATATAATAATAATGAAAAATTTGAAGTATTACGAGAATTACATTTAAGTGACACAGAGACATAAAGTGAGCACATGCTATTGGAAAAATGATGCCAATAGATTTGGTCAATGAAGGTTGCCACAAACCTTCAATTTGTATATGCAAAATGCAATAAAGGAAGGTGTACATGTGAAGTGTGGGAAGACTTCATAGAGTACTTACCACCTCACCTTTCACACAGTAGTGATGGTGCTGATGCACTGACCCTATTCCTTTCATCACCACCAGAATGTCCAGCTTTGTGGAGCCTCCTGCCATTGTGAAAAAACTATCTTGGGTAGAGAACTACTGGCCTGATGATGCTTTGCTGGCTAAACCCAAAGTGACCAAGTACTGCCTCATCTGTGTGAAGGACAGCTACACTGACTTCCACATTGACTCTGGGGGTGCCTCTGCCTGGTACCATGTACTCAAGGTGAGTGCTAGCTGCACATCCTCCCCTGCCCTTACTGCCAAGTAGCCCACAGATGACTGGAGTCCTCACAACCCCAGCTATGTCCAACACTATGTGGGCCCCAAGCTGAGGTGCTACCCTGTAGTAGGAGGGCTGTGTGGGATTCTGGTTTAGGGGTGAACAGTGGAGGCCTTTCTGGGTGGAGGTGAGGTGCTTCCTAGACCAAGGACATGTGTGCCATGTCCCCTTTCCTAGTAAGAATGAGGCTCATGAAGTAACCTAGTAGAAGCCCCCGTGAGGCATTGATCAGGCGCACAGCACTGCTAATGAAGTTGGTGCCCAGAAGGGGAGAGAGATATTTGAGATACTTCTAGAAGGAGAGGCCCAGGGGCCTCCACATGGGGCCAGGTGGGGTCTGGAACCACAGTTCTTCTAGCCAGAGATCTGAGCAGTCTGAAGAGCTGAGTTCTACCTATAATTCACTCAACAGCCTAGTTTGCCCTTTTTTCTCACATGCCTATTTGTAGTGCTGCAGACAGTTGGGTGTGTGTGATGATGGGGTATGCCCCAGACCCTGCTGGGGGGCATGTCAACTTTGAACCTTCCTGATATCCAGACTTCTGAATTGTGAAGCACATGTGGCTATGTGGTTTTATCTAAGGAAAGATGGGACTGGGCCAGGACTAGTTTGCAAGGTAGGACCCAACCCTAGGTACCTCTTCCGTAGTCCCCAGAGCATGACAGGCTCTGCACCTCTTGATCTTTGGGGTGTGGGGGACCCCGCACACCCATGATTCCCAGGGCATGGCAGATGTACCCCCAGGACCTCTGGGCATGGTGGGCTGTAATGGTGTGATAGGCTCTGCACCCCCAGCACCCCCTGTGATGTGACTCTGTTTCCCCATAATGGCCTCTCTCTCCTCACAGGGGGAGAAGATCTTCTATCTCATCAAGCCGGCCTCAGCCAATCTCTCCCTGTACGAGCGCTGGCAGTCGGCCTCCAACCACAGTGAGATGTTCTTTGCAGACCAGGTGGACAAATGCTACAAGTGCACCCTCAAACAGGGCCAAACACTCTTCATCCCATCAGGTGGGACATCGGGCCCTCCCTGTTGCACCTTGGCTGCCCATCTCTAGCTTTTATATCTCCCCATGCCACAGGCCTGTGCTGGGGCTCCCCATGTCTCTGCCCTGCACACTGACTTCCTAATCCTCTGCCCTGGGGTCAACACCCTGGCTGAGCTTCCTATTCCTTAGGTTGCCTGGGCCCTCACTGGGACTTGCTGTTGAACCCTCCATGGCCAGACTTGGCAGAGGTAGCTAGTCAAGGGAACCTGGTTTGTAGGAACCTGGGCTGCCTTGCTGTGCCGTAAGGTGGGCACACCTCCATCCTCCACCCACCATTCCATGCAGGTAGTAAGTCTGTGGGCCTGTGAACTATACAGAGAATCCCCACAGAGACAGAGGAGAACAGTGAGTGCTCACTGTTGTGGATTTTTGTTCAGGGACTTTTTAGAGATACAGAGGGAGAAAATATGACAGTGCATGGTAGAAGCTTCTTACTTCCCTACCTCTCACTGCCCCAAGATGATGATGTGATGAATTTGACATTGTATTGTTTCACCCATAAAGACTTTACTATCTCCAAAAGGCTTTTCATTTAAAGTAAGAGTTATATTGTCATAATCCTTAAAAAATAGATAGGGATATCATTTCTCCAAGATTTTCTCATTGTTATATCTGTGGTCTTTTTCATTTTAAATCAAAGTTCAAACAAGGTCTTCTGAATTCTCCATAATCTCTGGGTCCCCTTCATCCCTCCCTTCTTCTCTTTCTCTTTCTTATCTTCCTTCCTTCCCTCCCTCCTTTGCTTTTATCACAATCACAATTTATTCCTTGAAGAGCTGAAGGGTCCCAGGTCTGGGCCCTTGGCTCCTCCTCTGAGGATAGTCCAAGGTGGAGTCATAGGCCTCCTGGGAGATGCAGCCACCCCTGCCTTGTCTTTCTCCCAACTCTGAGTCTGGGAGTCAGGGATGCCAGGACATCTGGGGACTGGGACAGGGACCCATTCTTTTGCTCTTAGTCCCCTCTCCTCCCTAGGCCTTGGTTTCCCTGTTTGCGCTTTGCAGGGGCTGGATTGAACAATCTATGCCTGCTTCTAATGGCCTCTCTTGCCAGGAAGGCCTACCCTACTTTCTTTGTACTGAGGGTAGGGTGGGGTCAGGAGCTGCCAGGCAGCTTGGTCAGAGGTCATTGAGCAGCAGTTGGGCCTAGTGGCATCTCTGTCTCTCCTAGGCTGGATCTACGCCACACTCACGCCTGTGGACTGCCTGGCCTTTGCGGGACACTTCCTCCACAGCCTAAGCGTGGAGACGCAGATGAGGTAGTGCCGCCAGTGCCACGCCTGCTTCCTGGGCTCTGCTGGGCAGGTCTCCCCCGCTGGGTCAGTGTGATGGGCACCTGTACCCAAGTCCTGCCCCAGCCCCACATGGGTGGCTTTGTGTGTGGCCCACTGGTTTGAGGCCTCCATGTGCTTGTGGGGAAAGGAGGAGATGGGCTCCCTTGACTGCAAGAGGCCCACTGGCCACCTGGAGGGGCCTGGCTTTGGAATAATCCAGGCAGCCCTCTGGGGATTTGGGGAAAATGAAAAGGCTGGTAATTCCCTCTTTTTCTGAGTACAGATCTCCTTCTCTAGTAAAGGCAGCCCTGAAGCTCACATCTGGGCAGCCTTCCCTGTAGGACTCTGATCCCCTTTCCATGCAGGGATCTAGTGGGGGAGGCCTGCAGCCTGGGACCTGGGTGGGCCTACTCTCTGACCTTGCCAGGCTGGTACTCATTATACTGATGTGTCCTTTGCTGTGGCTTGCAGAGCATATGAAGTGGAAAGGAGGTTGAAACTTGGTAGCCTGACTCAGTTTCCGAACTTCGAAACTGCCTGCTGGTACATGGGGAAGCATCTGCTTGAGGCCTTCAAAGGTAGCAATCAGTTGTGTGTGTGTGTGTGTGCATGCATGGCACTCTGCATGTGGGAGGGTCACAGTTCTGCCTCCTGCAGTAAGGCCATCCAGGAGATGGAGTGAAGCCTCATTTTCTTGCTTTTACTGTACTACCTTTGTGTGGCTTTGAATAGTTCTCCTCCCCTCCTTGGGCTTTGGTTTCCTTGTTCATTCACTGTGGGTGCTGGATTACCCAGTTTATGCTGTCTCCAAGTGGCCTTTACTGCCTAGAGGAGCCATCTCAGATTTTAAAAGGGGGCTGGGCTGAGTGTCAGGAGAGCCAAGAGTTCATTCTGCCTTGTGCCTGTGGCTTTGGTGCCCTTTACTGTCAAAATGTCTGGCCTCTCTGCACTTCAGGTCCCCTCTGCAGCAAGATGACACCAGCATCTGCCCAAGAGGCTAAGGGGATTGTTCCAGAAGATGGAATCACAGTGGGTGGGGTTAGTGCACATTGGCGTATCAGAAGGGAGCTCTGGTAGCGTAGTGCCTAAGGCACTTGACTGCTAACCAGAAGGCTGGTGGTTCAAACCCACCAGACACTCCTTGGAAGGTAGAGAGGGCAATCTACTTCCATAGTGATACTGCCTCGGAAACCCAAGGAGGGGTCGCTCTGAGTCGGGTCCAACTCGACAGCACATAACAACGACAACATTAGAGCCCCCTGCTGGTGCTGGCTCTGAGCTTCCATCTTGAACAAGCCTGGCTTCCTCAGCTTGGGGAGGGGCTCTCAGACCTGCCTCTAAACTGTTCTGAGAGTGGAATAAGATGTACTTGGAGAGTGTGGCCCTCAAACCTGGGCCTGTGACTGGCTGGGAGTTAGCACTCCTGTGGGGAACTTCAGGCTAAGGTGGCAGGACAGATGGAGAGGAAGACACTGTGGGAGAGGGCCAATGCCTGCAACGGGGGCCTCATGGCCAAGATGTTGATAGGACAATGTAGGAGGAGGGTGGAGCATCTTCTCAGCCATCTAGGACAGTACCCTCCCAGGTTCTAAGAGGAACCGTTGGCAGTTGGGCTGGTCCTGTGGGTGGAGGCTACTGTAGCTGTCATCAGGGACTGTGATGGCTGCTGGACTGGGTGTGAAGTAGCCTCGGGCTGCAGAGGTGGCACTAGGAAGTGGGTAGGGTCCCCTAAGCTACTTTTTCCTCTCTTTCCCCAGGTTCTCACAAATCTGGGAAGCAGCTACCACCTCATTTAGTCCAAGGAGCTAAAATTCTCAATGGTGCTTTCAGATCATGGACTAAGAAACAGGTAAGGAAAGTGTTTGGTTGCAGGGGAGGAGTGTGTTTGGAGATCAGAGCAGCCATTCTAATAGATGGGAAATGTGTGGTGTGCAAGCAGTACCACAAGGTGGGGCTGGCAGAGGACCCCTTTGCCCAGGTGAGATACCTGTACCGGATGCCTATTCACCTGCAAATTGGGCCTGGGCTTCCTTCCTGGTCAGGAGTGGGTCGGGGACTAGAGCCAGCTCAAGATTACAGCCTGGCCTTCATATTGTGTGATAACTATGCAGTGAAACATCCTGGTGGCCTTCTGGCATAGCTGGAGCAGGTGGTGCCTACAGCCACCATTTCCTTCCTGGCCCTAAGGCCTGGAGCAGCTGCATAGCCAGGTGGAACAAGCTCATACTTAGGAAGAAGAGAATAGCTGTCTTCTGCTCTGCAGCCTTCTAGGGAGCTGTGTAAGCCTCATGTTCCTTGGACTTGATTTCTCAACCTGTGGAGGGGAGGTCACAGCAATGCCTTCTCCTTGGGGATAGTGGCAGGTGGAGTGGGCTATTTTGTGGTGACAGCACCTGGTCCAGTTCCCCATGAGGGTGCAGAGGGCAGACTGGTCCCTCCTCACAGTCAGGGTTAAAGATGCTTTTTAGTGAGAAGATGGAAGGGTCTTGGTGGCCTGGCCCAGGGTCATTGTAGCCAAGGTCTCCATCTTGCCATGAGGAACAGGGCCCAGCCTGGCCTGAGCTTGACTGGGCCTTGGCCACCTTACAACTCAGAAAAGCCTGAGTCTGCTGAGGGGCCAAAAGTACAGGCCTTGAACCGAGTCATGAGACTGGAAAGCTGCTGCACCCTTGCCAGCTGTATGACCTTGGGCAGTTTCTGAACTTCTCTGGGCTTTGTTTTCTCACCTAGACAGTGTAATATGAGTGTCTGCTCCAGGGCTCTTTGAGGATGAACAGGCTTTGTGAGGGCTGGACCAGGGCTGCTCTGCTCCCTTCTGAGGTGGTGTTGTAGCAGGCATGCTGGCCAGGTGTGATGGGCCTACACAGGAAGCTGCAGACTGGCAGGTGTGGGTACCCACCTGGGCTTACAGAACTCACTGTACAAGCTGTGTTCCAGGCTTTGGCAGAGCATGAGGACGAGCTCCCGGAGCACTTCAAGCCTTCACAGCTCATCAAAGACCTTGCCAAAGAGATCAGGCTCAGCGAGGTAGGGCCCTTCCCAGGTGGTTGTCCCAGGATGAGGGGAAGCCAGGCTGTCGGTCCCAACACCCCCAGGTCAGAGAGCCCCTAGTACTCTGGACAGCCCCTCCCTTCCCATGCCCCTTGGCAGGTTCTCCTGGCTGCAGTGCATGGGACAGATGTGGATGGGTCTTCCCTTGACACCAGGTGGTACAAGTGGGGAGGGTGGGGCTGACTTCTCCCACCACCTCCAGAATGCTTCCAAAGCTGTCCGACCAGAAGTGAATGCCATGGTGTCCTCAGATGAGGTCTGTGACGTGGACAGAGGGAAGGAAGAGCCCTCATCTCCCATTGAGACCACCCCATCTCAGTCCCTCCTGGAAAAAGCATCTAAAAAAAAGACTTCAAAAACTGTGAAGATGCCCAAGCCATCCAAAATTCCCAAACCCTCGAAGCTCCCCAAGCCCCCGAAACCCCCAAAGACGCTGAGGATTGATAGTGGCAAGAAGAAAGGGAAGAAGTACAAGGAGACAGGCTCCCCCACCATCCCTAACCTGGACCTGCTGGAGGCCCACACGAAGGAGGCACTGACCAAGATCGAGACACCCAAGAAGGGCAAGGTGGGTACTGGGCTGGGTTTCCATGTGCTCATGGCTGAATAGGGCAGCAGGCTGAGTACAGCCCCCTGGAGTGCCAGCAGTGAGGTAATGGCCCATGGGGACGTGTGAGGTGGAAAAGAGCCTTGTGGGGGAGTGCAGTCTGCTCTGCAAAGGCACCGTCCTGCCTCTGTAGTTTCAAGTCCAGCCCAGTGCAGCCCATTTCTGCCTCCGTGTGCTACAGAGAAGTGGGTGCCAAGGAGAGACACAGGGGAGCTGGCCAGCATGATCTGCAATAGCTGAGGCTGTTGGAAGAGGGTGGATGAATGCTGATCTCCTGTGAGGGGTTACCCAGCTGAGTCTTCATAGCTAGGTAGGAAATAGCCAGGGATAAAGAGGACATGTCTGTAGAAAAGGGCTTGGGACTTAGGACAAGGGTGACTGAGATGCCCCATAGTAGAAGGGCCAGCTCCTGCTGGGAGGAGGCTGTTATCCTCTCCCTAGGGGCTGGTGACCTTACCAGGACAGTGCCTCAGGGCTGCAATGGGCACATTGCTTTCTGTTTCTCAAGCCAAGGAGGATGAATGACAGGTGCATGAATAAGTGAGTGGACTGCAAGCCCCTGGGTGAGTAGCATGGCCAAGGACTCTGGTGTAGAGGTCACAGGGATCAGGATGTTGGCCAGCTGTTTGCTATTATCTGAGGGAGTCATACTCTGTATTTCCACAATTGTCATGGCTGCTCTGTTCTCCAGGCTGCAAAGAGTGTCCTAAGTGTACCCAACAAGGATGTGACTAATAAGCAAAATGATGTGGACAGGTTGGAAATCCGAGAGCAAACCAAGAGCAAGTCAGAGGCCAAGTGGAAGTACAAGGTGACATGTGCATGTGTGTGTGTGTGCATGTGTGTGTGTCTGCAAATGTGTGCATGTACACACATGTATGTGATTGTGTGTGTGCGCATTTGAAAGGCTGCATTTGTTGGGGAAGGCAGGTATGGGAGGGGATTGGTGTGAGGTGGTGTGTGTGAATGTGTGTGGGCTATGGGAGTGTGAGAAATGTGTACCTGTGAGATTGTGCACATGTGTATTTGAGGGTGTGTGTGGAAGCTCAGGAGTGTACAGGTGTATGTATGAATGGGTCTGTGGGTCTGTGAGGGTGTGTGTGATGTGGGGGTGGGAGTCTTGTGGACCTCATACAAGAGTTTCATATGGCATTTAAATATTGAGTGTGCCACTTCCACTAAGTTGATGCAATTTTTCTTAAACCTCTGCTTCCTTGGTCAAGCTCACACTGCACCAGGGGACAGGTCCTGGGGGCTGTACTGAGTGCTAGGTTGGGGGAGGTATCTGCATACAAGCCCCTCATGGGCTGCCTGGCAAGTGTCTGGAACCTTCTTGAGGTGTATATTGGCTGTAGCAGTGTACTGGCTCCAGGGTGACTTGGTTCAGTGCCTTGGACACCAGGTTACACCTTTCCCAGCTCTTCTCTGAGCCCCAGTCTAGGTCCCACTCAGCCCATTGCTGTGGGGGCTCAGTTATGTTCCTGGTTTTATTTACAGAACAGCAAACCAGACTCTTTGCTGAAAATGGAGGAAGAGCAGAAACTGGAGAAGTCTCCTCTGTTAGGAAACAAAGACAACAAATTTTCATTTTCCTTCTCTAACAAGAAACTCCTGGGGTATGTAAATGCATGTACTAAGAAAGATGGGTTGCATGCACACCACATACACACTCCAGAGACACAAAGCACACACTCACCTTGAACACACACAACTCACACACATATCACACATATCACCTACCCCATGCACATAGCACACACACATGTACCCATAAAAACACTGTATACATATCACACATACCACACTACATCCAAACTGTACACATACCACACAACACATATATAAACACTATGTACTTATCACATGTACCACACACACTATATACCAGTCACATACACACTGTACCCAAATACACACGCACTCCTATACCATACATATAAATACTATGCATATATCATACACATGCACACCCCCAACACCATACACGTACATACCATATACGTATCACACACACAAACCTACATACCACACACATACCCCATGTAGATATCCCATGTACCACACACACACTTAGAAATCACACACATGCCAACTGTGCACATATCACACACACTACATACATATACACTGTGCACATACCACACACATTTATACACCACTCACATACTCAGTGTACATATATCACACACAAAAGACACACACTACACATCATGTACACACATCCCCTTATATACACACTGTGTATATATCACACACACATAGATACCTATATACCTCTCACATATACATTATGTATATATTACACACACACACACTACACACATATTGTGCACACACCCATGTGTTGAGACTGGCTGACACACATCCAATCAGAGGCTTTTCTGGGTGAGGCCCCTCCGTCCTATCCCAGCTGACAGTCACTGAATGCTACACTGTGCTGGGCATACATTTTGTCCTGGGCACAGAGAACAGGTAGACATGGCCCTGCTCTCATAAAATGTGTGGTCTGGAGAGCATGGAATGTGGACACAGACACTCTGGTGGGATTCTGGAGGATACAGCAGGATGTAGCTTGGGTAGGGGCACCTGAGGATGTACCTGAGGCCAGTGGAGAGGAGACAGCAGGAGTGGGGCCTTTATTGGTTCTGGGGATATGAACTGAGTGGGAGTGGAGGAAGTCCTTTGGCTAGTGGAGGAGGCTGATGTTGACCCACTACTCTTACAAATCCACGTAAAGTGATGATGGTGGTGCACACCATGGAGGAAAGTATCCTTGGGTGCTGGAACTGTGTGCCCAGGGCCTGGCCCATCTAGGAGTCTGGAAAGGTTTCCTGGAAGAGGTGGTGAAGCATTAAGAGGTGGAAGGTGTGGGGTCAGCTAGCAGAAGGCAGCACACAGGGGGCCTGGGCTAGGTGGGGGCCCAGCCTGGGAGCCTGTGCATACATGAGGGATCTGGAAGGCACAGAACTACATAGGCCAGCCGCCTTAGCACATGAGAGTTGAGAGGGGCTGCTGAGGGTTTGTGAGTAGGGGGCCAAGCCTCTGCAAAGGATGAGAAGCTGCAGAATGCGTCTGTGTCTATTAACAAATACAGTGCCGCCATGAGACAGGAGGTATGCAGGCTAGTACTGCGCCATCAGACCAGCTGGTGTCTGACATACTGCAGGGGCAGGCACAGAATGGGACAGAGGTCAAATATGTTGTAGGGAGAAGATGCTAGTCCCTTTCTGTAGTGGATGCAAATGGATCTGGCCGGGCCTCAGTGTCCTCATCTGTAAGATGGTAAAAGCACCCCTGTCCTGGGTAGTGGTGAACTGTGGGCATTACCTGTCTACTTTGGCCTAACACATGGCAGAGTGGGGCATGTGGTTTGTGCAGCCCTCACACCCTGTTGTTACTGACTTCAGATCCTTGAGCCTGTTGCTGGAGTCCTCTGAATCTCAGCATCCAAGTCCTGGGAGCTTTTGAACTGTATCAGCAACATACTATGCTGTAGAAAGTCTAGAAGAAAGAGATGAGGAAGGTACATACAGCAGTCTAACATTATGTACATGCATGGACATGTGCATTGTGTGTGCATTTATATCTCTTATGACCGCAATATGGCAATGCTTGCCTCCAGGTCCTTCTCTTTGAGAGTGTTGGAGGCAGCCAATTCTGGTACCCACTTGAGACCGTGTTCTGCATTTCTGCTGGTTCAGAACTGGAGCTGTACTCATTTGAAATACTAGATGCTTCTGTAGGGCCTGCCACTCTATTGCAAAGCTTTTCCCTCTGCTCCATAAAGAAGGAAGCCATTTTCCTAAGACAGTGGGATACTCAAGCAGGATTGCTTGAGGCTGGAGCAAATACAGGAGGGGGGGCACGTAGGAGCCCTGATCTGTAGTGGCTCTGTTCCTCTCCAGGAAGGAATGTCCAAACTATGGCCTTGGATATGTTTTTCCAAAATAGTTAGGCAGAAAAGCCCATGCACGTTGACACTGATTCTGTTTTGTCTGATGTCAGCACAACAGGCTTCACTCACTGGGCCTCACAGGCACCTGAGATAGCTGAGAGGGCCCTTGCTCAGGCTCAAGCATAGGCAGGCTCTGTCTGCAGTGTGTCTTGCCCTCATCTGGGGCCACAGCACTGGGGAGGGGGTCTTAGTGTGTCAGGGTGCTAGCCCTGCACTGGTTCTTCATGGCCCTCTGGCCATGATTCCCCATTTCCATGGGTTGTATTCCCTGGCCTCTTGAGCAAGGGTCAGACGAGATGACCCCCTGGGACACCCAGCTGACCCCTGCCAACTTTTCTTGTCATAGCTCCAAGGGTCTCAAGCCACAGACGAGCCCCAGCATGTTTGGGACTCTGCAAAACTTCAAAGAGGATAAGCCCAAGCCCGTGCGAGATGAGTACGAGTACGTGTCGGATGATGGGGAGCTCAAGATTGATGAGTTTCCTATCAGGAGGAAAAGGAACACTTCCAAGAGGGACTTATCTTGTGAGTTGTGCCCACTCCAGCTGCATGCCCAGCCCCACGGGGGATTAACTAGTACTGGGTCCGGTGTGGCTGCCTTAGCTCCCGGAACACCCTCACTCTCCCAAGCAGTACCACTAGGTTTTTGTCTGCTCTTGTTTCAGTTTTATTGGATAAGAAAGAGATGCTCCATGTACCTGTTAAGAAGCCAAAGCTTGACTCAGTGTTTTACAAGGTAGGTTGTTGTCCATAGTGCAGCCCTTATGGGGAAGAGGCCCCCCAGGTGCCTGCCCGCCACCCCAGGGTTATGGGCCTTATCGATCTAATGGTCTCTGATTGGGTATTCTGTGTAAAGGATGTGCCATGTGGGCAAGGAGGGTGCCCTCATCCTTGCCCTATACTTTTCAGTGGGGGAGGGCCATGGCACCTAGCTGTGGATACAGGGCGGACAGCCCCTGTTGCCCTGTGTGTCCCCTTGGATCCCATCCATCACAGTCCCAGTTATTTGTCTCTGTGTTGGTCTCTACAGCAGAGTGATGACTCCTCTGAAGAGGATTCTCTGCACATTGACACGGATGCCAAGCCCAGCCGCAATGCAAAAGCCAAGAAGGAGAGTGGGAATTCAGCAGCAGGCATCCTGGACCTGCTGCAGGCCAGTGAGGAGGTTGGCGCGCTCGAATACAACCCCAACAGGTAGACCCTGCGTGGCCTTCTGGCTCCATGTTTAGGTTGGCCACCCACTTGCCCACTGCCCTTCACATAGCACCCGAGTTGGGCCTGTCTTTCCCTTGACTGGCTGGGTGGTATGGCATGGAAGATATGAGGCCATGCCACGAGCCTGAGCAGAGGTGACTCCTGGGTGCAAGTGGATGTGGCCGCAGAGAAGAAGACACACTGAGGGCAGGCCATGGGCTTCTGGGTGCATATGGAACTGTGGCTTTCCTGCTAGCTGTGGGCACAGGTGTGAGGGTTCTTACTGGTGGCATGTGGGGCTAGGGCTGGAGCATGGACATATCCTCTGTGTGTGGCAGAGTGAGATTGCAGTCAGTGCTGTGGCTATAGGCAGCATCTTCCAGCTGGGCTGAGAGTACTGGGCCCAAATAGGTCAAGGTTTGGGAAGATTAGCCCTGCTTTTCATCAAGAGGATGAGAACCAGAACAGAGAGAAAGACTGTCCTCATCCCTTTCTCACCTCATTAAGGGGGCCTGAGGCCAAGCAGGAGCTGGCTGTTCATCTGTGATCTGCGGATGGAGACAGATGTGGGGACATGGGGTGTGGGATAGGGGGAGTTGGTGCTTCCATAGAGGCAAGCCTTGGGCCCTGCTGTTTTGGCTATGTGGAAAGGCCCCTGGTGACAGGTGAGCAGAGGCCCTGTATCACACCAGGCATGCTACTCAGGGGAGACCAGTGGCCAGACCTGAGCCTTGTAGAGGTGTTACCAGATGAACCAGGGTTGTGCATGGGCACTGATCATGGGGGCAGTGGAGTGTGCTGAGGATGGACTAATTGGAAGATGATGGAACTCCTGGACATAGGCACAGAGCGTGAGAACAGATGCCTCTCTCTGCTGGCTCCCTGCTCCCCTCTGGCCACGTGGAGATGAGGATGGGGGTAGAGGGTGCAGGACTAAGGGATGATTTCTTGTGGGGCTATGGGTGGGAGGAGTCTGAGGGGTGGCCATGCCTGGAGCACAGCAGAGCAGGAGGCAGGGCTGGGCAGAAACTTGTGACAGGTGTTTGGGTACTCAGGCCTGGAGGGTCAGCCACCTCTGTCTCCTCACTTAGCAGGTGCCCTGAAAATAACATGAGGAACATTCCACTGTGTGCCCTGGGCTGAGGGCATCTGATTTCAGTGGAATGTTTGCCTCCAGTGGACCCCATGGGGCTCAGGGCCTCTAGGACCCTGGAGGCTGGCTTCTCTGACGATATCTCACCTCACAGCATACAGGATGGAGCTTGCACCTTGTAAGGTCCTTGATCACCACCCTGATTTAGGACATTTGAGGCCAAGCTGACTGTACCTTGAGTTGTCCACAGTGGTCTTCAAATGGCCCTTTTATTTTAGCTCTACACACAAGGGATTGACAACCCCAACCAGTAGTCATGGCAAGTTGTGGGTGCAAAACCCAAGCTTTAAATCAGAGGGCAAAAGATGGGACTGGCAGCATGAGTGATAGCTGAGTGCCTCAGGGCTGAGACTCACTGCTTCACTCTGTGGTTTTGTCATACATAGGTTGCATTAATAGAGGCAGCGTGCTCAGTGCTGGGAGGTGATGGTCCCACCCTCCTGTGTACATTCAACTACACATGGACTGTGATTTTCAGCTCTGACTTGGCCCTGGAGAAGGTCACTGACCATGATTAGAAGTCTGAGGGGCAAGGGTCAGGAGGGCCTAAGTCCCCGGGATGATGGGAAACATTGGGAGAGCAAGCCAGGTGGGCCCTGGAAGCCAGAGAGGACAGAAGAGGCCCATGCTAGAGTCCACAGGGAGGTTCTCCAGCTTTGCAGCCTGAAAGTGGTTTCCTGTTTTGGGTTCTGCTTTCAGTAAAGAGGGATTCAGGACACCAGATAATAAACACAGAGTTGCCAGTGTCTGCCTCTCAGGGTGGCTCTGCAAACCCTGAGTGAGCGTGCCCTCCATCTACATACACTACCTGCTGCCACCAACAGTTCTTCCTCACCTGCTATGGGGAGGCCAGTCAGTTTTTAATGGTCCATTTGCACTGTTGCAGGGATTCCCTAGTTGGGAAAACATCTGAGGAGCATGGAAGGAAACATGTTAATTTCTTGGACATAGTTTGCTTAAGGTTTACTGCTGGAGGGAAGGAGCAGATTTGGAATGCTAATTGGAGGATTAAACTTTTACCTTTCCTGCTGACTGGTTAACCTGTGGACCCTGGCCTTGTTCAGGGGTCCTGTCCTTCATGCTGCAGTCAAAGGTGCTATGTCTTGGGACAGTCACATGGACTGGGCAGGAACTCACTCACCCCAAGTCTGGGGTCCTATTCTGATCCTGGCCTCATCCATGGGCTCTGGGTACTGAGTGGCCCACCAGAAGTTCCAGGAGTCTGTCTTGACTTGAGCTGTAGGCACCTCCACATGCCCATTTCTACAGGCCCTGAAGGCTAACTGGAGCAACAGCTACCTTGAAGAGACCTTTCTGTGCCCAGGAGTGGGAGGGGCAGTCATGCCTGGGCCACCTGAGAATACTTTGTCTGGAGAAGGGAGATGCTTTGCTCTTATTGGCTCCCATTCTGGGACTGGGTAGGTCTGTCCCTGCTCAAAGAACTTACATGATGATGACAGCCACAGTGACAATACTAACAGCTATCAAAATGTCCCACAGCAAGTGCAGAGCTATGGGCCCATGCTGAGGCAGGAGTGCGCTGTGGGCCCTTCAGAGAGGACTGTGGGGAACATTGAGGTAGAGCCTACCTAAGGAATTTTCTAGGGAGACTTGATTTGATTTTCACATGGTTCCCTGGCTTTGAAACCTCAGTGCTTGTTTTGTGCTGAAGCATGGTGGGAGAAGCAGTGCTAGGGAGTACCAGAACAGAGGCATGGGCAGCTCTTCCTACAGGCTTAGGTGGAGTCCCTCCAATGTGAGCTGGACCCTCAGAGATCCTGGGGGTTGCTCCACAGCCAAGATGGTTATTGCCCTTCCTTGCGTCAGTGGGTCATGGGACCATCTAGGAGTCCCACTTCTGGGTTTCTGCTAACAGGCCCCCTAGCCTACCTACCCAGCCTCAGACTGGAATCCTTTTGTTTCCAAGTAGGTTTTCTTGTATGATCTCATGGTCATCTGTTGTGTCCCCTGGTTGGGGCCACTGCTCGTGGCACCAGTGGGGAGCTCAGCAGATATCCACACTGGGTCTGGTAAGAGTAGGAAGGGCAGTTCTCACTATCTCCAGATTTCCAAGAGGAGCTCCCCAGACTCTTCCTTTGGACTTACAGGAACATGTTTTGTCTCACTGAATGGAGCAGCATAGAAATTCGTGAACTCTCACAAACGTGTGGTGACAGGTGGACACACACAGGCAGAGTGATAAAACTGGCAAAGGGCTGTTGATGAGGAAGAAGAGGAGGGAGGTAGAGGCCTCTCCGTGACCCCACATCTACATCTTGGTCCTGCCTCCAGTGGAAGAGGAGGAAGGGATGAGCAGGAGTTAGTTGTGCTCTGAGCCTAGACCTAGGAACAGCTGAAAGCAGGAACCAGTGTGCTCAGTCTTTGCTATACCAAGGGTTAGGTGGGGCTTTGGGCCTCAAGCAGGGTGGGACTGGAATAGGACTATGGAAGCCCAGCTGACCAGCCCTCTTTGAGTTCTTGGCTAGTACATCTGTGTCTTGTGGGGAAATGTGTTGACCAGAGTAGGGCTTGCCATCCTGCTGTGCCTGGGCATCCAACACAGACCATGGGGCAGTGGACTTTGTGGATGCCTCTGCCAGCAGGGCTGAGAGATAGGAGAGGCCAGCAGAGGGTAGTATGGGGGTAGGCCTAAGGAGTGGTAGGGAATGGATGCCTGGGTGGAGGTTGCCACCAAGTTGTGTTCATTTGCTTGTTTTAAGATGAGAGACTTAACGTATGAATATGTTCTGAGAGGGGATGCTAGAGTGAACACAGCCTTCCCTCCCTCTGCCATCCTTTCTCTCCTTCCCTGCTTCTACTTCCACTCCTCCTCCTCCCTCTGTGGTTCTCCTCTGTGCCCCTTTCTGTCCCAGACCCCCAGCCTGCCCTGCCTGAGGTCTGGTCTCCTCTTCCCTGAGCCCATTGGGGATGGGAGGTTGGCCTGGCCATTGTATTGGCAGTTGTCAGCACCCACACCTTATGTAACCACCCCAGTGTGGGCTGAAGGGCTGATGCCAGTCTGTCTTTGTGCCTACAGCCAGCCCCCAGCCTCACCCAGCACACAGGAAGCCATCCAGGGGATGCTGTCCATGGCCAACCTACAGGCCTCTGACTCCTGCCTGCAGACAGCCTGGAGTGCTGGACAGGCCAAGGGCAACTCTCTGGTGGCCCATAGTGTCCGAAAGAATGGGAGTGGCAGCAAAAGTACAGGGAAGCGGCTGTTGAAGAGGGCTGCCAAGAACAGCATGGACCTGGATGAGTATGAGGAGCAGGACCACCTGGACGCCTGCTTCAAGGACTCGGACTATGGTGAGTACTGCCTGCAGTGTGTTAGTGACTGGGTCAGCCTCCAAGCTTCCACTGAGCACACAGTGCCTTACTTGCTCCCCAGAGCCTCTCTTAGCCAAGCAGTGTTGGGCTTAGGCCAGAGCTCAGAAGGGCCTGCTCGATCAGTTGCATGGAGAGGCTTTAAACATGGTGCTGCCCACCAGCCCACAGAGCAGGGCTTTGCTCCATACTTGGCCTGCTGCCCAGGGATGTTCTGGCACTCCGGAACCAGGTGGTATGCCCAAGCTCACTGTCCCTTCCCTCACAGTGTGTGAAAGCACTCAGGAAGGATCTTCCTTCACACCAACTTTGCATGAAGAGCCAGGCTCTTGTGTGGGGATCAGGTCTAGGTGGTTACTGAGAGTGCTTTATTTGTGTTACTATTCCTGGGGTCCTTCTGTATGAGCTAGGCTGGCTGTGCACATCTGGAGGGCAGATTTGGGCTAAGTGTGGGACCCATCAGTGTGACAAGCACAGTGATGATGCATGAGGACCCTGATTCCTGGGCTTGCTAGTTTTCCCCCTGAAGTGTGGGTCCTGGGATTTTGGCCTTAGTAGCCCTTGGAGGTTCACTGGTAAAGATACCAGGCTTGTAGGAGTCCTCTGGTGAGTCAGGCAGAGAGGGGCTATGGAGTGGTGATGCGCTTTAAAGCAGGTCTTCTTGGTGGCCAGTCTTCAGTATGGGGCTCTTTTTGCCAGGGCTGTACAGGGCACATATCCAAGGACTGTGAGCGCTCACCCTGCTGGGAGCCAGACACCCTAGCTGGATGGGGCCTGTTCCTCCTGGTCTCGCCATTCTCTGCTGCAGCTGTGCTGTGGAGCCTGCAGGCTCTGGGGCTCTGCTTAGTAGCTGTGGGTGGGTTTGCTGAGTGGAGAGGAGCTTGCCTGTAACTTCACCTGTGTCCAGGCTGGGAGAAGGGGCCCAGAGGGTGCCAAGGTCAGGCTAAGGCCTGGTACCCTACCCACTGGGCCTGGGACTTCACATTACTTACTGGACTTGGTCAGCACAGCAAGGGCACACACTCCCCTGCTTTATTGCTGTGGGGCAGAGGCTCTGAGAAGGGATGGGAGGTCCCAGGTCTAGTAGGGGTCCTCCGCCTTTCCTTCCTTGGTGCCATCCAATTCGATTTCCTGGGTTCAAATGAGTGGCCCCAGCTCTTTGTCTCACAGGATGGCCAGAGCCCTTAGTGATCCTGCTGACCCACGGTGTCCCCATCCTTGCTCAGTATAGCTGGATCTGGTGGGAGGAGGAAGGGGAGGGTGGTCTGCAAAGTGTGGGGCCTTGAGTAGACAGCATGGCCAGAACTGGGCAGGACCATCACTGGCCAAGCAGGTCTAGGGGCCTCAGGAGTTGGATGAAGTTCATGCTCGTGGGGCTAGACCTTAGACCAGAAAGCCAAGGCTTTATTGTCTGAGGCTGAAAGTCAGACCAGGAGATGTGGGCCACGGAGGTGGAGGGCCTCTTATCTGGCAGGTCCCTGTTCCCTTCTGGCTCTCATTGTCTCCTCATCAAGGAGGTCTTAGACTCCGTGGCCTCAGGGGCCACTAGTATCCCCTTACCATAGGCAGCCACACTGGGAAGTAACACCCCTCTGTCCATTTCCCACTGATGGGGATGTTCCCTGTGCCCTGTCCCCAGGCATGCTGGTCTTGGGCACACTGCTGGTGCTCAGTGGGGCCTCTCCTTCTCTTTGCTCCCCTTAGTTTATCCTTCCCTGGAATCAGATGAAGATAACCCTGTCTTCAAGTCCCGATCGAAGAAAAGGAAAGGCTCAGACGACGCTCCCTACAGCCCCACAGGTAGTCCTGCCCTTTTCCTTTAAAGCAGGTCAGTGGCAGCCTGAAAGAAAAGGGGAGAGTGTGGGTCTGGAACTGCACTCCTCTGTCCTCTGAGAAGGTGTGCATAGGTCGTGCAGCCAGCTGTCCCTGTGAGTGGCATCCATATTATGAGTTAGACATGACCCCAGCACAGTTGTAGTGATGCTTTCTTCCTTTCCACCAGCCCTTGTGGAGAGCCTCCAAAGTCCCTTCCCTGTGGTAGGGCAGCACCCCTTCCTGATTCTCTCTCACTGTTCCTTTGTGGCTGTGGGGTACTTGCCCAGGGTAGGAGGGCAGGCAACAGGTCCACATGACCCCCCTGCCCGGATACACTTGACTCCTGATGTTGTTGTGGGAGGGTCCTAGGATTTTAATTTCCTGTCTCAGGTTTGCTGTCTGAACCCCCTGTTGTGAGCAACTTAAAGTCCAGGAAACCCAGTGCTCCAGGCTCACTCAAGCAGGGGCAGGAGGAGCCCCACCCTAGAAAGGGTGGACAAGGCATGACCCAAGGTTGGCTGACCCTTCTCTCCCTGTAGCACGGGTCGGACCATCAGTGCCACGGCAAGACAGGCCTGTGCGTGAGGGTACCAGAGTGGCATCCATTGAGACTGGACTGGCAGCTGCTGCGGCCAAGTTGTCCCAGCAGGTGAGGAGGGCAGGGCTCTGTCAGTTCTGTGAACAGATCCCTGGGGCCTCAGAAGTCATGGGCTTGGGGACATCTCACTTACATAAGCCCCATGGGAAGAGGAGAGGGACTCCTCCAACCTAGCCAATGGAATGGCACTTTTCTTCTTGAAAACTACTGTGAGGGTGGCTTGGAAGCCAGAAACCACAACTGTGCACTGGAACACACCCTGTGCAGACCCGTATGCTCCTAGGGGTATGTTCGGAGCAGGGAGGAATGGCCATCTCTTGCCACCTACATCCCTTACTGACTCCCGGGCACCTAAACTGTGTGTCTAGTTCACATCTAAGGAAGTTTATAGAATCAAAGTAAGCATTTTCATGCTGAGATATTATAGCCAATCCCTTTGAGAGTTACAGGGGCACAGAATGGCTGACCGAGTGCAGTGCCTGCCCTACACTCCCTCCCGTTAAGTGAAGCCTCATTGTGAAGATCTCTCTAGCCACCTTCTAGTGATGATGGTGCATCCTGGTGTGTTCTTACTCCAGAGCATGGCCTGGGTGGCCAGACCTCAATCCCCCTCGTGAGGTCAGCCATGTGCAGAAAGGAGGAGTATAGCAGGGGCCCTGGTCCCTCTGGCCCTTGATACATCAGTACAGCCCTGAGGAGAGTTTAAGCTGGTGTATGGGCAAGACTGGCTTCTCCCCTACCCAGGGCCCCTTGCTTATGTGCCTCAGATGGGGCTCCTGGTGGTAGTGGCATCTAGGCCAAGGCTCATTGGAGGCTGTGTCCTCCTTTGAGGACTGAGAATGCACTGGGTCACGGAGCTGCTTTGTTCAAAGGAGGAACAGAAAAGCAGGAAGAAGAAGAGCACCAAAAAGAAGCTGACTCCAACTACCACCTCCCCCTCCACCTCCTCCACCACCCCTGCCAGCACTGCCTCCTCAGCCTCTGCCTCCTTGGCCTCCACTGCCTCAGCCTCCATGTCCTCGGCCTCCACCTCTGCCTCCCTGGTCTCCACGACACCGGCCAGCACCAGCACAGCCAGCAGCCAGGCCTCTCAGGAGAGCAGCTCACCCGAGCCCTTACCAGAGGTGCCCAGCAGCAGCCTGGCAGACCACGAGTACACAGTGGGCATGGGCACCTTTGCGGGAACTCCGGCTGGCCGCACCTCCCAGCCCATGGCCCCAGGGGTCTTCCTTACGCAGAGGCGACCCTCTGCCTCATCCCCCAACAACAACAACACTGTTGCCAAAGGTGCGTATGCATTGAGGGGTGGCCTTGGACATGGTTCTGTCTGTGTAGGTTGTAGTGTCAGGAGCAGGGGGAGTGTTTTGGCTTAACATTACAGAACACCAAGGCCCGGTGGTGACCTTGTTCATTCACAGTGCTGGCAACTAGGGTGTGTATGCTTGCAGAGGAGTGCATAGAGGGTGCAGGCAGCCAATGTGTAGAAAATGTGATATTTCTAGAGATGGAGAGATGTAAGCACTTATTGGGCTTGGAGCCAGGAAAGGGGTTTTCTGAGTGTGGAGTTTGATACAGCTCCTGAGAACTCTATCTTCACTGTGAGGCCTTGCTAGAGGTGGTGTGGTATGGGGATCTATCAGGGACAAGGTTGGTGCTCCGGAGGTGAGGCTGGGAGAGACCTTGCAGTGTGGACAGGAAACCAAGGCACCAGGGTAGATGGCTATTCTGTGTAGAGTGGGAGGTCAGATAGCTGGCCAGCCTGGTCCCACCCCTGCCACTGTGTGACTGTGTATGGAATGCTGGCTTGCAGTGGCTTGAGATGCTGCTTTGTTGCTAGAAGGTGGGGCAGTAGCCTCATATCACAAGGATGATGCTGTCTTTGAGCCAGAACCCTGACCCCCTCTTTGGTCCTGGGGAAATCTGGACTTTCACACATCACTGGCCTATCCCTGCCACCATTGCCCCATTCTGGCCCAACCTGTGAACTGAATGCTTTGTCAGTGGTATGTGATTTCTGAGGCAAACTGAGACTGCAAAGCAAGGGTTTCACAGCCCATTTTATGACAGGGGTGGGGGGCTCCAGAAGGGATTGAAATGCCCAGGGCTGCGTCCTCAGCCTTGATATGGTGTTAGATGCCCCAAACACACCGATTCTCTTGCCATCTTGCTCATCTTTCTGTTTTGTGTCCCCTCTCCTATCCCTTTAGGTAAACGTACAAAAAAAGGCATGGCCACCGCCAAGCAAAGGCTTGGGAAAATTTTGAAAATTCATCGGAATGGAAAACTGCTCCTTTAAAGTTTGGGAAGCCAGGATTCTTCTGCTCCGCTTAGGACCCCCTGGAGTACTGCTAAAGCATCCGCCCCCCTAGGACTGTGGCTGCACCACCTCACCCCAGGGAGGGTCTCGCTTATTCCTGGCCACCATTCCCCACACACACACAAGTGTTCGTACCTGGAGCAGGAAGAGCGTGCAGAGCATGGCTGTCCCTCATTTTGAATAGAGATGTCCTATCTCCAGTTGCTTAGAGTGACCAGCTCCCCAAAAGCTGCCCTGTTAGTTGAGGACCATTCCAGGTTCAGGAAAGTTTCTGGGTACCCCTTGAGTGCCATGTGATTGCAGGCCTTCTGCAGTCCTGTGGGGAGCATGAGTCCTATGAGGAAGGACGTGTGAGCCAAAGCTCACCAGGCCCGAAGTCTGAGCTGGTCAGTCTTGTAGCCTCCAGAGGCTTAAAAAAAAGACAAAGAACACCCAAGAGTGAGAGAGAGAGAAAGAGAAAGAGGCATGCAGATGTGCCCCCCTTCTCTTCTTGAGTGATTCTCAGACAAGTCCAGAGAACATTAGGTCCTATGATGAATGGAGCCTCTGCATCCTCCCAGCAGGTGGGTCACAGGAGGGATAGTGAAGTAGTGCCCTGAATGCACAGGAGCATTCCTCGGGGAAAGCACAAGGGCACCAGGACTGGCAGCACCGTTGGGGTGTTAGTGGACAGGAGCCGCTGAGGGGGCCCTGGGAAGGCGTGGGCTCAGCCATGTCTTGAGTCCAAGGGGGCCCAGGCTAAGCCACATGGGTGGGCCTGGCCCAGCTCAGTGGCTCACACTCCCGGAGAAGCACTTCTCAGCCATGGCACCCTCCCTCTGGGACTGGCGTGGCCAGGATGGCAGGCGGGTGGGTCAAGGACAAATGAACTAGACACTGCTCTGTCTCTTTTGTGCTGGCATCTGTTGTCGAATGCATGGATCGTACCTGAAAGGTGTGTCCTCCATCGGCACAGAGAGGCTGGATTTGTTTCTCAGGCAATCCTGGATTTTAATTTTAGATGTATTTCCTGAAGCATATTTTTCATAGAATGTAGTATGTAAATAGCTTTTTAAATAACTTCTTTTTTACAAGAGTAAAAGTATCTTTAGAAATTTCTTTCTATAGAGTCCTTCATTAACATTTATACGAGTTTTTTGCCGACTATTATAAAACAGTTGGGTTCCAATACTTTTTCTTTCCATCTTTCTTTTTATTAGTTTTCCTTTTCCTTTTAGAAACGAAGGTATTGCCTGAAAAACAAGTGATGTCTGTGCAGCCTTATCCTCTGTCTCCACAGAAGCAAATCATACACGAAAGATGTATTGCAGACACATTTTGAAGATGAGTCTTCAACTTTAATACCAGCTCTTTGTTTTCCTTCTTGTATGATGAGGGGGTTGGGGATACAGTTATTTTACTAGCACCTTGTGAAGTGTTTCTGTGTTTTGTGATGATGTAATTTATTAATGTTTGTAGCTTTTTATATTTGTACATTTCTTAAGAGCTTTGTTTATATACCCATTACTTGGATGTTACATCCACAACAAGAAACAGCTTTGTGGAGGCCTTATTAACTCCCATTTTGTCCTGTTAGGAGGGACATGGTCCCGAGAGCCATGAGACAGGGAGAGGAGGGGTCTCATGGGTTCCAGAATTACTCAGAACTGGTGTTTTTAAAGTTTCTTTGCCCCTGTCCTTGTTGAACATTTATATAACTTAACCTGGGCATCAAGCTGTTCTTTCTTTTTTTTTTTTTTTTTTTCATTTTATTGTTTTTTATTATTTTGGCAACATGTACATTTCTAACAAAGTTTATCGTGGCTGTTAAAGTGTTTTATTTCCCAATTCATATTACTCTTGTATCAAGTCCATGAGGTCTAAGTCAACTTAGATCAAAGTTTTCAAAAAGTAAAAATATTTCAGGTTTTGTACAGAACAGTTTGTGTCATTTGTGTCATTCACCCTGATGGTGAGAATGGTGGGTGTTCCTCAGGCTGAGGGCAAATGGCCTAGTGGGCAAGTGGCTGGGCCATGGAGTTGGCTGTGAGAGATGGGCAAAGTCTGGACTTGCCTGCTACGTATCCCTCCCACAGTGCTTTCATAACCCCATACCCTAAAGCTGGAGCAGCCCTCAGATGGGCATCAGGAGGGGGCAAAGACTGTAGGTGGACCCTGGGCAGGGGGGCAACCTTTGAGACCTAGGCTACCTCAGACCTTCACAGGCACAAGTATGGTCTGAGTTCAGTGGGCACACCTGTGTGCATCCCAAGGCAGGACCTGGCATGGAGAAGACACTCAGCATGAGCACAGTTGACTATTACAAGCAAGCAGAAACCTGGAGCCGTCATAGGCACTGGGGTGACATGAGAAGGACAGTGAGGGGCACTGAGTGCAGGACTTGGGAACTGTCCATGGTGGGCAGTGGCAAGGCCATGTGGGGACAGACAAAAAATCAAACACAACTGGTTAACTACCTACAAGTAGTCACTTGGGGCAGGAGCAGAGTGTGGATAAGATTGGGAATGAGGTTAATACCACTGAGAAACTGGCCCTGAAGGTAGGGTCTGATCATCTGTTGGGGAGGAGAGTGTCAACAAGGCTCCTCAAACAAGCTGAAAATATCCCCCAGGACACTACAGATAAGTAGCTGGGAACTAAGAAACTACCCAAGGGCACCCAGTTTGTAAGTAGAGGTGACTGGAGCCCACTTATGGACACCCTGGCTGAGCCTGGAGCCCTCCTGTGGGAGCGCAGGGTAGACTTGGAGCAGAATGCCCCTGAGCCCATCTAGACTGCTGACCCCACAGACTGTGAGATGGACAGCTGAGGAGCTATGGTCATTTGTTATGCAGCACAGAACATGAGTACACTGTGTGGCCTTGGGCAAGCCCCTTCTCTCTGAGCATTAGTTTCCTTGATGCCCTGTTGGATACCCAGAGCAGACACTCCACCACTGAGGCTGAGCCCCAAGAGGAGTCCCTTCAGGACTGGGGACTGAGATTAGTGGGGTGGGGTGGTTTAGGTTTCCAAGTCCAGAAAGCAGATGCCACCAGGGGGCGTCTTGAGCCCATGCTGGGCCTGCTGGGTGGCCCAGCATCTCTGACATTGATGGATCCCAGCAAGAGGTGGGTGGCCTCTCAGGATGGCACTCAAGCCTTTCTGGACAGTGGTACTGCACTTGCCCAGACCAATCCAGGGTCTGCCTTGTGGCTTCTCAGGGGTCACCACACCTTCAGCTCTGCACCTTTGCTGAAATGATGGTCCCAAAACATCCCCTCCAGGCCAGGGCCCCCTGGGCCCAGTGTTCTTGAGGCTGAGCTGTCTAGGGGTCTGGTTGAGGCCACCCCCCTCACCATCACCTCTATTAGAACTGAGACCTCCTCAAAGGCCATGGGAATGGTGAGGGCCCACCTGAGGAAGGCTTCTAATTGGGGAGGGCAAGGAAGCCATTCATGTCATCCTCACTGAGCTGGCTGCGCTGCCCTTTTATGCCTCCTGGAGAGGCAGTAGCCTGGATGTATGCCCACTTCTCACTGGCTGGGTCCTCACCTCTACTTGAATCTGTGTATGGGCCTAGGGGTATGCCAAAGGTGCAGGGAGGCACCATCTTCTGACCTCCTCTAACCCCACAAGAGGAAGACAGAATCACCATCAGTAGCCCAAGGCCTATTCCTGCAAGGCCAGACATGCCTCCCTTCAGCCCTTTGACCAACCCTGACACCAACTGTTTCTCCAGCAGCACCCACCACTTCTCTGCTGGGTGGGATAATTTGCTGCAGTGGCCACACAGAACTCACATTATGGGCTTTATTAGGGAAGCAACAGGCTACAATTCAAGTTCAGAAATGCACTCAGGCTCTCTCAGCCCACCGTCTCTCTCTCAGTCTCTCTCAGAAGTGTGTGTCTCTTGGTGTCTCTCTCAGCAGTGCATGTCTCTTGAGGTCTCTCTCAGCAGTGCATGTCTCTCACATCTCTCAGCCAGCAGTGAGAGATTCCTTCTGCCTCTAGGAGGGCTCCTTTTGAGCCTGGCAGAGTGGCCAAACTAACCAATCCCAACATCAGAATTCTATACACCTGAGAGAGAGCGAACTTTCCAGAAAAATTATTTTGTGCTGATCCCAAAAGAAATACTTCAGGTGGATAACTTTAACAATCAGGAGCTACTCAGTTGCTCATGGCAAATTCCACCATGGAGTTTACAAAGACTAATGGCTAGAAAAGCCATACTATGTAATATACTACACTGCAGGGTGTGTACTCTGGGGTGATGCCTGAGAGTGCCCACAGTGCTGGGTGTGCTGCACAGCTGGTAGACGCCTAGGGCAAAGGAGCCCAGCTGGCTAAGGGGCAAGGGACCCTCCTGGTGTCTGATGCTCTTCTCTGCTTGGTACTGTCAGTCCTCAGGCCTCTCTCCCTTCTACTCTGGGTCACAGTTACCTGTCTGTGACCTGGGAGAGAGGACTGTGGGGGCTCAGAAACAGACCCACTTTCCTGGCCCTCACCCAGCAGATGAACAGACTGAGGCCCAACCTCCCCAATAGTCAGGGTCCTATCCCTCCTCCTCAGGGCCAGCTCTGGGGTCTACTGGGATGCTGTAGCCTGGCCACCCCTGACAGAAGTCTGGTCATTTTTTAGAGACCATCCAGTGTGGTCTCAGCCACGATCCTTTATCTGGGCTTTTATCTACCCACTTACCTGAGCTGCTGTGGGGTACCCTTCCCTCCTCTGAGCCATGTTGTCAGTTTTCATCAGGCATTGTGGATCAACAGCATGAGCAGACCAAGTACCACCAGACCTCAAGCTGTGGCCTCCAACATGGCAACTCCAGAAAACCCAGGCCTGCTCTTGCCATCCCAAGCCCTGCCTAAAGCAGCCTCAGCTTACATACTAACAATATGTTGCCAGGGGAGCCCTCTGTGGGAGATCTGATCATACCAGAAATGTTCATCACTCACCATCATTGCTCAGTGCCTTTGATAGCAATGGCTACTTCTAAC